TGCTTTCTATCAATCACCCTTTGGCATATTCCATGGAAATATGCCCATGAGCAAAATATAGCATTTCTCGAATTTTTATGTACTAATCCACGTAAAGCTACAGGTAATAATTGTTGCATCAAAACATGACAATCATTGGATTTTAGGCCACTAATTAATCTTGCATTATCCAACGAGACTCGTTGCCCCATGTTTGAACTATAACCATCAGATAACTTCAACTAGCGTAACCTTTTACAAAATTTGCCTTTCTCTTCCTTCGATAATGTATAGAGTGCTGGTGGCAAGTAATGTTTTATGCCTGACTCTTTTGGGTGCAAATCAATCCTAATGCCCATTTTTTTTTAAATCCATACAAAACTTGAGTCCATCCTTTGATTTTCCATTCATATTCAATAAAGTACCGAGAATGCTTTCACAAACATTTTTTTTTAGTTTTGCATTACATCCAAATTGTGACGAAGAAGTAATGACTATCATAACAATAAAAAAAGAATTATTACTAAGGAATGTGATATCCTCAAAGAAATAATAGTGGCAAAAAAAGTTAAACTCCATAATGATTTCAAATTACATACCTCAAAAAATATAGACATTTTCTTCCATGGCCAAGTGTTGGGTTTTTTTGGGAAGTGTTGCTCTTTTGGGAAGGATTTTTTTTGGACTTCTTACGTTTTTTATAAGTTTTTACTTTGGAATTCATGCACTTTTTCGGAGTTTTTCCCCACTTATTCTCAAAATTCTCAACAAGCTGAAAAATTTCTGAACTAGATAATGCTCTAGGTGGCCTCCTCAAATCTTCTTTTCTATCAAACCAAGTTTTTTTTTTTGGCATGACACGTGATTGGTTGTTATTGACAAATATATTTTTATACAAAAGGTATAAAAATAATGGCTAGAGCTAAAAATAATTAGTCTAAAATTTTTGTGTAAATCTACTATGACACATAAATTTATACAAATAAAAAAATATAGACAACCATTAGAGATGCTCTTAGTTAATGGAATGAAAAAGAGAAAGGAATGAGAAAATATGTTGATGTGCTGTGTAAAAGGGTTATGCAAAATACACAATAATTTTATACGTTGGTGAGGTGACAATGTATCTTAACATACTATTAGAGATCAAAAAGTTTTATACATTGTGTATATTTTACACAAAATGCTTTTTTTTAAAAAAAAGAATCTCATCTGGAATTGTGCTTTGTGTTTTTTTACACGGATAGTAGAAAATTGAATTGTTGCTAATTGAATAAATCTTCTTACGACTTTGATTTAATATTTATCACTTATGATCACGTGCATCACATCATTGAAAAATAACAAAAAGGAGGGTGTCTCGTCTCGAGTAGATATTTGGTTCCGACGTACCACATCATTGGGATTATGCATCGAATGAAAATCCATCGTATTAAGAAAAATTATTACATGATCTTGGATCATTGGTCCCGATTAATTATCAATTGACACGTAAACGAAAAAAAAAAAAAAAAAAAATTGAAATAAAACATATATGCTTACTTACGTGTCAATCAGGGTCCTCATAATTTCTCCAATATTAAGTTATTGAAGATAGTTTTCTACTTATGTGGACCACTTTCATTTTAGGATAAATTTTTATTAGTTGGGCATACAAATAACAGTAACATTCTTGACTCATAGTTGTGGGGCCCATGAGTTGGGGTGAGTCCGGTTATTGTAGCAGTGCTTGTTTTCATGAATTGGGTGAGTCTGGCTAGTATAGATATTTTATCTAATCTGATATTTAATAACTTTACTAATAAATTAATAATTGAGGGTAATTTAATAATTGTGACATGATGATTGCCGAAAAGTACACCTAAGTGACCAGGCAATATGCAACCTTTGCATAATTGAGGGGGCATTTTTCAACTACTGTTTTTTTTTTTTTTTTTTTAACACACTTTTGCTTCTATCATAAGTTTTGAATGTAAAATATAAGATCATATTTGATTGTTAATATTTGATTGTTTCTATATCCAAAATATAAGGAAATAAGACTGGCTTTGGCTTTCTTTCATATTTAGGAAAGAAAGACCAATCAAAGATGGTACATCAAATAATTCATTTTTGATATATCGGCCCAATATCACTGGTCTTGAGTCATGTTATTTTGCAACAAATAAAAGTTTACTATTTCATTGAGCCCGACTCAAACTACGGGTTTAAGGAAAATGATATTGTCATAAAAATAAGTTTAATACCTTGACGACTTTAATACCTTGTTTAAAATCGATGGGGGGTGTATTATTATTACTTGTTTGTTTTCATAAAAATAAGTTTTTTTTTTATTTTTTTAACCATCAAGTTTCATGGTATTCAAATATAAAAACTTAATTGGTATAAAATTTATCATCAAAATTATAATATTTTTTTTACAATTTTTCAATACTTTGATTTTTTTTTTTTTTTTTAAGTCCTCTTCTTATTTCTGTTTATGGAGTCAGATAGATCATTTGCTTTGACCATTATAATAATTAACAAATGTCTAGCAAAATAATTGATATATATTAATGATAAAAAACACAATATTTTACCTCAAGAGTTCTTATATAGATGCAATGTGTTGTATATATATATATAATATATATACACAATTTGATATATACATAGTGATTGGAATTTTAATTGCCAATAAAGATACAAGATTAAATCTAAAATGAATTGCAACTTTCTAAATAGTTAATTATGTTATATTTTAATATGGTATGTGTCAAATATAATAGAATATATATTAAAATATAACATAATTAACTATTTAGAAAGTTGCAATTCATTTTAGATTTAATCTTGTATCTTTATTGGCAATTAAAATTCCAATCACTATGTATATATCAAATTGTGTATATATATATTATATATATATACAACACATTGCATCTATATAAGAACTCTTGAGGTAAAATATTGTGTTTTTTATCATTAATATATATCAATTATTTTGCTAGACATTTGTTAATTATTATAATGGTCAAAGCAAATGATCTATCAGACTCCATAAACAGAAATAAGAAGAGGACTTAAAAAAAAAAAAAAAAATTCAAAGTATTGAAAAATTGTAAAAAAATTATTATAATTTTGATGATAAATTTTATACCAATTAAGTTTTTATATTTGAATACCATGAAATTTGATGGTTAAAAAAAAAAAAAAAAAAAAAAAAAAAAAAAAAAAAAATCTTATTTTTATTAAAACAAACAAGTAATAATAATACACCCCCCATCGATTTTAAACAAGGTATTAAAGTCGTCAAGGTATTAAACTTATTTTTATGACAATATCATTTTCCTTAAACCCGTAGTTTGAGTCGGGCTCGATTTTGTTAGACGGTGAGCACAAGAACACTACTTGGTAGACCCCCAAATCAAACGATATCTCACCGCTCAGTCACCTTCGCACACCGCTGTCATCTTCATATTTTCCGATGAGGCGGTGAGTTACACCTCTCTCTCTCTATATTTATGTGTTCGTCACTCAATCTCTCTCATGCATGCTACTGATTTATATCGATTAAGATTGATTTATTTCATTTGAGAATTTTTGGGTGGACCATCCTATTTCAGGGAAATACAACCATAAGTTGATTCACCAGTTTTTGGATTTCAATGATTCGATGCTATTTTTGTTTTGTTTATTCACTGAATGTATTATCAAAAAGGGTTTTGTAAATTTTATAATTGATAACTAGCTGGGTGTTTAATATTCTATCCATTTTTTTTTTCTGGGTTTTCTACGCCATTCACTGAACCCTGCAAATCTAATAGAAGTTTTTCTAGAACAGTGCTAATTCCTTATTTGCTGTGAGAAAATAGGGTTTTGTTTGTTCATTAATCTCTTTTCTTTATGCAGTCCATTAGAAGAATGATATCCATGTTAGTCCACGACGAGGCTAAAGTAAGGAATATTTGCCCATATCAATATTGAATTGTTTAGTCCAAGATGTCGCTACACCATACTCTTTCATCATCCATACAGAATAATAGTAGCCTATATTACTCCAATAACCATTAGAGAAAGTTATTCTAGAAACTTAGCAATTGGAAGCGGATAAGACTCAATGACAGCCATGCTACCAAGCATCATAATCTCGCGAAATACCTCATCGCCCATGTGGAATTACACGATTAAGCGGCAATGAAGGCCCCCGCTCCTACTCGATTCAATCCAAGCATCAAAGCCGAACCCAATGTTAAATGGACCATGCAACTGAAATGTGACACGAACCGGTGGAAGGGCCATGAACTTTTGAATCGACGGGTTCCTAGATACAGGTCATTGGTAATAATAGATTGATCGTTCAAAAGGCATATGATGTAATGCTTTCTAGTGGAAACTGAAGCCTTGCATATTTATCAAACATTCGATTATCATAATGTAGTGAGTAATGCTAGTTTATGATGTAACGATGTCTTGGACTAAACATTTCAATATTGATTTGAGCAAATTTTTCCAAAGTGTAGTTGGCTTTAGAAAGAAGGATGAAGTTCTACCGACAAGTAACGAATATTTGGCATCTTGTGATCTTGAAGCCCAACGACTTAGGGATCTCGAAATTTGTGGCTCTAGATATTCATGGGATAAGGACTCATTTTATGCAGTTGCTTACATGGAGAACCTAGTTTTACATGTGGTGAAACCACCTGTTTTGCATGGAGAAGATAGTGAAGCTGAAAAGAAAACCGAGAAAGAGTGACGAAAAGCAAAGAAGGAATAGCATCAGGCAAGATGCATGATCTCACTAATCTTTACATCTTCTATTTATCTATTGCTAACTTCTGTTATTGCTATATCTGAATTTCAAAGCTCAACCTAGCATTTTAATAACCTCTCTGTCAACATTTCTGTCAACATTTCTCATTTTCTCTAGTAGTTAGGTAGCATAAACTTAAAAACTTTCTTGTCAATTACTGTCTAATTTTCAGTATCTCTAGTGGAACAACTATTATTATACTAAATCTTGATTTCTTTTCATGTCAGATATGGTAGATTTTTCTTTCAAGGTTGCAATGTGGCTGGTGTGGAAAGTCAAAATAAGGAGGAGACGAGAGGTGAACTATTGAAAGAGTAGAAATGACATGTAAACTCTTTCTCTGCTTCTAGTTAGTTTGAATTTGTTTAGAATGTATAAATTGTATATTGAGCTTCAGTGGCCCAGTAGCATAACAATCAGTTAAAATACTGTCATGAAAATAAATTCAATCTTCAGAGAGAGAGAGAGAGAGAGAGATGATCACACCTGTTTACTTGATGATATTTAATTCATTTGTGACCCTGTACATGGTGTTTCCATTTTATCGAATATTTACAACTCTATATCAAAGCCATGGCTTTTGGTACTGCGTAGCTACACTAACTTTTTGTAAGTTATCGTGTCACTTTTGCTAAGGTTCTCTATATTGGAAGTGTTTTTAACAGATGTTAATGTGTGGTGTTTGGTTGGAGAGGAGTGAGGGTTGTTATGTGTTAGTGTGCATGTGCAATTATGTGGAGGGAGCGATGAACAATGGCGATTAGTGTGATAGGAGAGTATACGATGCGCCGACGGCGTGGCATGTAAGTAATTGGTTTACCAAATAGGAGCAGTATGAACTCTTTGGAGTCCCAATAACTGTTTCTGGTGTGGTGGTAAAAGTGAACCTACCCAAAGAAGAAAAAGAAAAAAGAAAAATGCCGTTATAAGATGTTAATAGAGAACTTGTAGTATTGAAGGTTTTAATTTTTTTGACTCAGACCTCCACTTGTATTAAGAAGGTCCACATATTTATATAGATAGATAGAGAGAGAGAGGGGTTGTACTGATGGGGATGAGGTGGTGGTGGTGGTGAGATGTAATATGCATAGATGAGATGGCGATAGCGGCGCCAGTGGCAACTGTGTAAAGAATAATTATGGTGGAATGTAATATGGATAATATATATACATATATATACACACACACACACACACACAGACAGTAGTGTTCAACTGCTTCCTGGTGAGCAGGAAGTAGTATACTCACTTTTATTTATAGCCTTAGGATCTAATCCTAAGGCTAATTGAAGCAATAGTTATTTTAGGTAATTGTCTTTCTTTTAATTAGCCATTAGTTATGAAATGACTATATTAGATACTTTTTTTAAAAAAATAATAATAATATTTTTTAATCTGATTAAACTTTAACTATGTTCCTTTCCACCACTGTCGATCCGTCACCACCACCCACCTCCTCCCCCACTGCCACAACCACCTCCCCCAACCACACCACAACACTGCCACCTCCATCACCACCATACTGACTGCCACCCACTACCACCACATACACCAATAATTATAAGGACGCGAATTTAAAGATGTATTCTTGATCATGATAGGTTTTTTCTAGCAGGTTCTCGTGACTTTCTCATGATAATTATGATTAATGATGGGATCTAGATGGTAGCCCTTTAAGTTGTATATTAGGTTTCTGTGAATTACAAGAACAAGGATCTTTCATGTTGATTAACTATGATGCCCAAAAAAGATATTGTGTTAAATTAGCATTACAGTTTGCAGACGGCTCATTTTGATGTGACAAGATTATCTGAAAGGCATTAACTTGGATTATAGTTGTGAATTTGACATTAATTTGTAGATTTGGTAATTCTTAGTCAAAAGTAGCCATCAAATCTGTCTGGGTGGAGGTGGTGTGGTGTAGGTGGTGGTGGTTGTGTAGCAGTGGTGGTGGTGGAGGTGGTGGCGGGGTAGAGGTGACAATGACGGTGGCGGTGGAGTGATGGCAGTTCATGGTTAATTTTTTTTTTTCTTCTTTAAGAATGTATCCAATATAGTCATTTCATAATTAATGGCTAATTAAAATAATGTTAATTTCCTAAAATAATTATTCTCTCCGGTAGCCGTTGGGTTAGATCCTAAGGTTATAAGTAAAAATGAGTATATTGCTCCCTACTCACCAGGGAGCAATTGAACACTACTGTATATATATACATATTTATATATATATATGTTAGAGAATTACGTGATTTATGTAATTGTTAGATAAATTTGGAAAGTATTAACTGTCTGATTTTGTACTAATTATAGGCTAATATAGCTGGTGTATTAAAGTTTAGGTTGACTTATTTTATTTTCTGATCTTAGGGATTTGATTGTATATTCCTTAATTTACTGGATTATGATCTGATTGTATTCAGCCTATAAAGGTCAGGCTACTTTGTATTAGAAAGTAATGAAATATACTCCAGTTTTTCCCAATTTCTGTGTTATGGTATCAGAGCACTAGGTACTCTTTCTGGGATAAAATATTTCATCATTTACAGATTTCATAGCAGCTTGGAGTTCAGTTTTTTACAGAAGAAAAAAGAGATGTCAGAGGTTACACAAACCAGCTCTCAGTCGGAGGAACCTACAATCCAACAACAGGTTCCTGGAGATCTACAGAACATTCAAGCTGCGTATAGGCTGAATGGAACGAACTATTTAAAGTGGTCTCAACTTGTTCAAACCTTTCTGAAAGGGAAGGGCAAGCTCAACCATCTTCTTGGAAAAGGGCCTAAGAAAGAAGATCCAAAGTTTGCTGCTTGGGACGAAGAAGACTCAATGGTCATGTCATGGCTATGGAATGCTATGGTACCCGAGATAAGTGATACTGTCATGTTTTTGACAACCGCTCAAGAGATATGGGAGGCGATCAGACAAACTTATTCGAAGAAAAATGATGCAGCCCAGGTGTACGAGATCAAGGTGAAGCTAGCTGCCACAAAACAAGGGAACAAGACTGTAACAGAGTATGCCAACACTCTGAAAAATTTGTGGTACGAGTTGGACTATTACCAGGTTCTCGAGATGAAGAACAGTGAGGATGCTGCGTTGTTGAAGGCTTTCATAGAAAAAGACCGAATCTATGATTTCTTAGCAGGCCTTAATCCAGAATTCGATACTGTAAGAGTTCAGACTTTGGGGAAAGGATTATCCTCCCTAAATGAAGCAATTGTAACTATTCGTGTTGAAGAGAGCAGGAGAGGAGTTATGTTGGATTCGCAGCCATTGAAAGGATCGGCACTCCTTACAACCGCTACTAGTGAGGGAACTTTGGAGAAGAAGTCTTCAGCTATTACTAATTATAAGAAATATGACCCAAAGAGGACATTCAAAGAGAATCTGGTATGTAACTATTGCAAGAAAACTGGTCATACGAAGGACACCTGCTATAAGCTACATGGAAGGCCACAAAACATGAATCAGTCAAACTGGAATTCCGGAGGAAGAAGCTGTCAGCAAAAGGGAAAAGCCCACGTTGCACAAAATAGCACTAATAATACCAGTGATCAACCGAATTCCAGCAGCAGAGAATTCTGTAAGGAAGACATTGATCGCCTCCGATCCCTTCTTAATTCACTTGAAGAACCTACAGGTGCCTATTCATTAGCACTTTCTAGTATGTATTCTGGTTCTCATGCTCTTAGTGTCTCAGATAATGTTTTAATCCACCCACACTTTTGGATTGTCGACTCAGGTGCAACCGACCATATGACCAACTCATCCCAATATTTTTCTTCTTATAAACCATGCCCAAGTAATAAAAAGATCACCATAGCTGATGGGAATGTAATAACTGTTGCAGGACAGGGGGACATATCCTTAGGACCTTCCTTGTGTCTTAAAAATGTTTTACATGTGCCCAAATTGACAACCAATCTTTTATCTGTCAAACAAATCACCAAGGATATGAACTGCAATCTTATTTTCTAAAAAAATTCATGTGTGTTTCAAGACCGAGCTTCGGGGAAGACGATTGGGCATGCTAAAGAAAAGGATGGTCTCTACTGTCTCGAGCCCATGAGTGGAAAAGTGAGTACTGGAATTGGTTGTTCATCTGTGCTTCTATCTGATTCCTCCACAAATAAAGACAAAATTCTCCTTCATCATTTTCAGCTTGGTCATCCTTCCTTCAGAACTCTTAGTCTTATGTTTCCTTCTTTGTTTAAAAATGTTGATTTGAAACAACTTCATTGTGATATTTGTGAAATTGCCAAACACAAACGTGTTTCCTTTCCTTTGAACAATAATAAATCATCAGTTCCTTTTTATTTGATGCACAGTGATGTTTGGGGTCCTTCACGGGTTGCTAATTATTCTGGGGCACGTTGGTTTGTCATTTTTATAGATGATTGTACGCGGGTAACTTGGACTTTTCTCATGAAGCAAAAATCTGATGTAGCCAATATCTTTCCAATATTTCATAACATGATAAAACCACAGTTTGGGGTGAAAATTAAAAGGGTGAGGACAGACAACGGGAGAGAATATTTTAACCAAATTCTTTCACCATATTTGAATCAGGAGGGAATAGTTCATGAGTCCTCATGCATTGACACACCCCAACAAAATGGGGTGGCCGAAAGAAAGAATGGACATCTTCTTGAAACTACCCGTGCTCTTCTTTTTCAAAGACAAGTTCCAAAATATATTTGGGGGGAAGCTGTTCTTACAACCACTCATCTCATCAACCAATTACCTACCAAAGTCTTAGATTTTAGAAGTCCTTGGGAAACACTTTCACATCATTTTCCAAACTTCCTTACTCCAAACAGGTTGTCTCCTCGGGTATTTGGTTGTGTTATCTTTACTCATGTTCATGCTCACAATCGAAGCAAACTTGATCCCCGAGCACTTAAATGTATTTTTATAGGTTACTCTTCAACTCAAAAAGGTTACAAATGTTACCATTCGCCTACTCGGAAAACCTACATTTCAATTGATGTCATATTTGTTGAACATGAGAGTTTCTTTCATTATCCTTCTCCTCAGGGGGAAGTAACAAGTGATGAAAAGGATGATGATGCCGATGTCCTCGATTTCGATCTTATGCCCAAATTGTCACCACCATCTTTGAGTCCAAGTTCTGCAGCCACTCCTGCCTCGGTTTCCTTTGGTTCCCCTCTTACCGCGGCTTCTCCAAGTCCGGATCACATTCATTCCCAGGTTTCACTACCTACTTCCGGTCCCAGTTCTGATATTCCTCCGCTTCAAAATCCAAGTGTGACATCTCTTGAATCTCAACCACAATCTCCTCCTAAAAATCCAACTCCATCAATCAAT